GTGTGTGTGTGTGTGTGTTCTGTTGACCTCAGAATTTCGGTCTGGTTTCAGTAGAGATGGTATTGTTTGGCAGAAGCTATGCTCACATTTGGACGAACATGGATAAATGCACTAGTAATTGAAGGTGGATGCATATACCGTGGCCAAGGTGGTGACGGCAGAGTGAGCCTCCCCGTAAGACGGTCCAAGCTGGCATAGTAGTGTGAATAGAGTTTGTGATTTTGGATTGACTAGCGTACCTGCTTGTTATCTATATGCTTGGCTTTCTTACCTAAGCATAACTTGTTTTCTTTTTCTTCCCCTTTCTAAATTTAAAAAGCATAACTGGCAGGTGACCTACAAGGGGAGGCTCCAGTTATGCTGACAACAAAAAAAAAAGACTGCAACCAGCTAACAGTTTCAGCTGCCTTGTTGATGATTGTGGTGATCGGGCAGGTGACCTACAAGGTCGAATTTGGACAGATCTACTTGAGCAAGCCGATGATGACCGAATCTGATGGAGAAACTGCGACCCTCTTTCCTAAGGAGTCCAGACTGAGGAATCTGACGTATGCGGCCCCATTGTACGTCGATGTCTCGAAAACGATCACGCAGAAGGTCCCTGATGGAGAAGAAGAAATAGAGAGCGATGTTCAGCACAAAGTCTTCATAGGGAAGGTATGAGAGTGAATAGAGAACAGGTCCAATTTTCTGTAGGTGTTAAACTGCTAGTACACGGCCCCAGCCTTGCAGTCCAGAACTTGTCGCCACAAGAAAACGAGGCCGAAACGTCAAACGCTGGGCCTGCCGTTGATGTATTGGATCGGCCTCGTTTTCTTGCGTTGATGTATTGGATCGGCCTCGTTTTCTTCGCGCCTCTGGAGTTCAAGGTGTCAGACCCGCGGCCCAGGTAGCCGTGTGCTGGTGCTTTAAAATGGCGAAAGGAAAAGCCAAAAGGTGTCAGACCCGCGGCCCAGGTAGCCGTGTGCTGGTGCTTTAAAAAGGCGAAAGGAAAAGCCAAAAAAAAAGTTTGCCAACAAACCGTCTTCGAAAATAAATACCAAATCGATAAAGAAACCGTTAGCGGCAAACTGTGACCAGGAGGAAAGAAGGATTCCATGACTCTGTGGTACCTACCCGAAAGAACTGTTGCGGACCTAAATATGAGGAGTTGAAGTTGTTACGGCGAGAGGCAGGCTGGAAGCGTGGGGGTGCAGGGCCACTGTCATGTCTCTGGGATCAGGTCCCAAGCCCCAACTTCTGAGAAGAAAAGAACGGACCCGCCTCATTTTTGCCCACCTCATCTTTCCCATGAATTGTGGGGCTCTCGCCATTGTTACGGCGAGAGGCAGGCTGCCGGCATGGGGGTGCAGGACCAATGTCATGTCTCTGGGATCAGGTCCCAAGCCCCAACTTCTGAGAAGAAAAGAAAGGACCCGCCTCATTTTTGCCCAACTTTTCTCCCATGTATTGTGGGCAAAGCATTCAGGTGGAGCAGCACTCCTTAACAAGCACCTTTGACAAGGAGCTTGATGAAACACACACCTTGAGGAGCACGTCGACAGACACTTTTTTTGAATGAATGCTCCTTAATGAGCAGCTTGCCGAGGATTGTTTGATAAGCACAGAATTGTATCTTTGACCGCGTGCCTGTTGAAGAATGAGCCGGCGACTCATAGGCAGTGGCTTGGTTAAGGGAAATTATCCACCGGAGCCATAGCGAAAGCAAGTCTTTTTAGGGCTATTGTCACTGTCTATGGACCCGAACCNGGAAATTATCCACCGGAGCCATAGCGAAAGCAAGTCTTTTTAGGGCTATTGTCACTGTCTATGGACCCGAACCCGGGTGATCTAACCATGGCCAGGATGAAGCTTGGGTAAAACTAAGTGGAGGTCACTTGATGAGCGCAGCTACACCTTTTTTTTTTTTTTTTTTTCAAATCAGAAGTGAATGAAATATCGAGATCGGGTAATAAATAAGCTTCGATGCAATTCAGGCGTCAGGGGAAGCAAAAGCAAAGGGGAAAAAATAATAATCTTTAGGTCCAGTTTTGCGTCATGCATTATATGTTTTCAGATGTGAGGATGTGATTTCTGTGTTCTGTGCTCTATATCCAGGTTCCCATCATGCTTCGATCAGCCTATTGCAGTTTGTACGAGCAGACGGACAAGGAGCTCACTCAGCTGGGAGAGTGCCCCTACGATCAGGGTGGCTACTTCGTTATCAATGGGAGTGAAAAGGTGCTGATCGCGCAGGAAAAAATGAGCAGCAATCACGTGTACGTCTTTCAAAAGCGGCAGCCGAACAAGTACACATTTGTGGCAGAAGTGCGATCCATGGCAGAGAACCAAAACCGGCCAGGAAGCTCGATGTTTGTCCGCATGTTGGGAAGATCTCCAGCAAGGGAGGTGAGTGGTTGTACCTGTGGTTGTTTTCCAATACCGTGCACAGTCCTTGCCTTTCTGCATTCTTTTCCCTTTTTTTTTTTCTTTTCCGTGCTTCTTTAAGGAAATGTGAGGCATAAGGCCCCGATGAGCCCCCTTTCCCCCCTGTAAGCAGCACAGTCGGCCGCCCTAATTGAAGGCAGGCCCGACCGAGGCCAAGAGGCCTATTTTTGCGCTACCACGCAACTGGGGATATTCAGGCAGTTGCGCAGTGCCAGTTGGTTAAGAGCTCCCAGGCGCTGGCTGCCTTTTTCGTACGTAACTGAGGCAGGCCCTGGGCCAGATGCACAACAAGGGCCGGACACAGGCTGCAGGCAGTTGGGCACAGACAACCATCACAGGCCCTGGGCCTGAGTCGTTTGGACTGGGGCTCAGCCTCTCGGGGCCTACCGGAAGCTTCTGGGCAGGGGCCCAGCGCAGCCAGGCCACACGCAGCAGGCAGGCCACTTCCATTTAGGAAAGTGCCTGCCCTCGCATTTGGCATTCGGGCACTGGCTGCATGCTGCGCAAGCGCTGCTGCGCTGATCGCTGGCCAGGCCCACGTGCTCACGGGCGAGCTAGATGAGCAGGCAGCCATAGCCGAGCTGCGCTGCACTATGCTGGATGGGGCGCATGGTGGTCCTTGGGTGCACGTGGGATCTGTGAGTGGGGGATCGAGGTTGTGAGTGATACGAGAGACATACCTGGTGCTTGAGGCGAACGGCATTGGCCGAGATCTGCTCGTACTTCGGGGAGCTGTTGACGTCACCAGCGGCATAGTAGATAGGCTAGATAGGATCTGCCATTTGTAGTCTGGGCGCAGAGCGCCAGATAGGATGTCGACATTGGTTCTTTGTTGATGATGATGAGATTATTCCAACATTGTCACTTGTGAGCTTTTGCTGTGCTCTTATTTGGTGAAACTCGTGTTGCAATTCTGCTTCTGGTTCGAGGTCACGACTATCTGGTTTCATGTGTATGATGCTGCTTGGTTTTCGGAGTTCGCTATCGCTCATTTTCCTTGCAGAAAGAGGGGGTAGCGACTTAATTGTCAAAACTCTTTGGTGGAGTTACACAAAACAGTTTGCTACTTCACTTTCTTTTTTTTTTTTTTTAATCTGCTACGTTGCTCCTCTTCATAAAGGTAGAATATATGTATATACTATTTAGTTATTTATATCGTCATAGTCTATTTAATTATGTATCATTTCATTCATACAACACTGTAACCCAAAAAGTATAAAATGAATAAAATCTGTTCTCCTTTTTTTTTTTTTTTTTAGTCTATCCTCCTGCCTTGGTTAATGTTCACAGGTTCTAAACTTTTCTGCGTAACTTGGTGTGCGTGGGACCTTTTCTCTAAATCTTTTGGCGACCAGTTTTGGTCTGTTTTTGGTGAAAGTTTTTCGGTCTGCTATTGTCTGTTCTTGGTCTGTTTTTGGCCTGAGTTTTCACTCATTTTTCTTTCGTTTTTGGACCTTTTGGTTCGTTGCGAAGAACCGAGGTCAACTTCAGCACAGAACAAGTCTAGGGGCCATAGCTCTTAGCCAAATCAGTCCTAGGGTCTCTGAGTGGGCAGCAGATGGTCGTCAGGTCGGTGGGCCTGGGGTCAAGGGTCAAAATGAGGTGCCCAGGGCCTATAGGAGCGAAACCAGGCCCTAGGAAAGTCAAGAGTCAGGCCCAACCTAGGCGCAGAAGTCAAAGAGTCAAAGGTTTCTCAGGTGTCAACCACGGCCACAAATCACACAGACATCCGAAGGGAACTAAAATTCTAAATGCTCAGTGCAATTTCCAGTCGTTTCCAGGGTCCACTGGGTTCAAGCACATGCTGGGCACAAACACATCTTGGACGCACAGATCAAGGAATTTCAGCCCTTCGAGGGGGCAATTGGAGGCAGGCCAGGCCAAGTCAACAGTACATAATATCGTCCTGTACCACAGCTTGGTCTTTCATTCTGCCTTGCACTGCTTTGAGCCTGGAGCGCTGCTGCCAGAGTGAGCGCGAGCTCGGGAAGAAGGCAGACAGAGAGTGAGAGCTGGAGTAGCCATTACTAGGATATACATTGTCTGGTGGACCGTAGCTTCACGGTAGAAGTGAGGGAGTGATATTTGAAGGACGATCATATCCTGTGGGGAGGTAAGAGAGAGAGAGAGAGAGAGAGAGAGAGAGAGAGAGAGAGAGAGAGAGAGATGGTGGTGAGTGCCATGTTCGAGAGACAGTGCCCTGCTTCAGAAGGCTGGCAGTGCTTATTCCGGTATTATTCTCCATTGCGCTAGTTTCATATTGCATTGGAGGGTTGACTATGCCAATTCGCAAGGTGCATGTGAGGGATACCGCGTTCATCATCAATAGAGGTTTAGATTGGCAACAACAGTGAGGTGGTGAGAAGAAGAGGGAGAAGCCTGGAGGATGAACGGAAAAATAGACACAAGCTATTGGAAGCTTTCCTCCTCCTCTTATTCTTCTCTTCCTTAGTCTACATACCGGTCTGCTCGCTTTCTCTGAGTGTTGGTCGATTCATCGAACATTGTGCGTGTCATGCATGATGTTCATGTTGTGAGGATTGAGCCCTCAAGTAGGGGCCTTGCCATGATGTACATGTTCTGGGCTAAGGCCCCAGCAAGCCTCGTGCCCGCCCTAAGTGAAGGCGGGCCAGCAAATCAACAAGGAGCCCTCTGTGCCAACATTTCACAAAGTGGGTTTTTATACAGTTGCAGCACGCCAGTTGGTTGGTGTGCACCGAGTCTCGGATTTCAGCAAATGCTGAAAGCCCAGGGCATCTGAGTTAGTTAGGCCCTGGGCACTCGAACGTGAGGCCGACAATGCATGCTGGGTAGAGAGGCCGAAAATGCCAAAGGGAAATCAGCCCACTATCTGAATCTGGCCACAGGCCTTGATGAAAGAGGCGCAACTGCATTGCCCCGGGGCCCAACTGTATCGAGTTGGCTTCAGCCTCTGGGTCCCGGTCACAGGCTGAAGGGAGGCCGCCCACACGCTGCATTGACATATAGGCAAGCCGGGCGAGGGAGCAGGGATCTTGGCCAATGCTGGCATTGCGGGCACGCTGCGCGGATGCATGTGTGCTGCGCTGTGCAAAGCAGTGCTGCGCTAAGGTGAAGCAGGCCAGCGCTAGGCGGTAGGGCGCTGCCTGCATGCAGGGCATTGGCGGCCATAGCCGGGCCGCATGAGGGTGCAGAAGAGGTGAAGGGCGAAGGTGGTTCTTCGGAGGTGAAGGACGCTGTGTGGGTAACAAGGGAGAGTGTGGGGAAGAGGACACGTACCTGGTGAAGGTGGAGGTCGGCATTGGTGTTGACATCATCACTCGCTGGTAGTCAAGTTGTCTGGTTGCTGTTCATTGCTGTAGTTGTAGGATAGGCTGTAGAGTAGATAGGGCGCCTGGCGCCATTCACAAGAGAGAGCTACATTTGGGTTATGCTGTTGGTGTTGCCCTGTTGGGCATGGACATTGACTCACGATTCTTCTGTATCATTCTCAATTGGATGGTTACTCGGTTCCATGTGCTATCTGCTTTGGCTTTGACTACTTGGACTTCAGCGTGATTTTGCATTCTGGATTGCTGTGCTTCGTCCATACTCATGTTCCTTGCAATGTTGTGCGCTGCACGGTATTGGGTTCATTCATTACACTTTTTCGGTCTGCTTGGTCAGGTTTTGGTCCGTACATCTTTTATCTGTTTCACGCTTGGTCCATCTTTGGTCCATGTCACACCTCACCTTTCTGAACTCCTCCGTTTTTCATTCTTTATTTATTAACCTTGGACACCCTGGTTCGTTCTTGGCACTGCATTTCTTAACTCTTTGTTCAACATTCACAGGTGTTGGGTCCAATCGGCCGGTTGCAAGGGAGGTATATATAGTTTCAAAGTCTTTTAACTTCCAACTGGTTTTGGGTCCAATGGGTCGTTAGTGGTCCAATCGGTCGGTTGGGAGGGAGGTATATATTTTCAAAGTCTTTTAACTTTCAACTGGTGTTGGGTCCAATGGGTCGTTAGTGGCACTTCATTTCTGGACTCCTTGGTCAACAGTCACAGGTCAGTTGGCAGGGAGGTATAAATTTTTGAAGTTCTTAACTTTCAATTGATGTCGGGATTAAATGCAAATCAAGGGTAGGTCGGCAACCGGCTGGTTCAGCTCGCCCAGTCCAACCGGGGCCGGGCCGGCCCCGGGGGGGTGAACTGGGAAACCTGCTTTAAAAAAAAAAAAATGCCCGGCGGATTCCGACTGCACTCTTCGAGATCCGTTGAAATCCTCGATAAAATTATGAAGGTGAAATTTTTTTTTCGTGGGGTTTCCCACCTGGAACTTGTGTGTGTGTGTGGGGGGGGGGGRGGTCAGGGAGGTATGGCTTTCAGGTGGAGGGGTCGAGTAACAAGCTTACTTATCTGATCCCCCCGTGGCCCGAAAAATTCAATTTGGCACCATAGACATGACACACAAGAGGCTGAACGAGATATGTTGATAAGAGGTCCTTGCCAAAACTTGTAGCTCTCCCAGAGTATTGCTCAAAAAAAAGTTATGGGTTCAGGTTTCAGCTCGTGGACGCAGAGCGTTTTCTGTTTGTTTCTTCCATGTACGGTGTGTCATCAGTCCGAAAGTATCTTGCCTGGCAGTCTGTCCCGATGCATGTAGTGGAGGGAGGTCCATTCCTGGGCTCCTTGGACAGCATTGCTACTCTGACTTCACGAGACGAAACCCTAACCCATAACTTTCCCCCCCTAAGCATAGGGACGTCGGAGAAGCATGTAATCTCAGCAAAGCCACTACCGCAGCATATTGTTTTCATCCTCCTGGCTCAGGGTGGACGAGTATCAGGACCTGCCTATTACATCTGGTTTGTGGTCTATCGGACCACACCATGCCAAATTGGAAAACCGGGGCCTACTGGACACTGCACCTTGGAAAAAAGTGTGGCGGTTCTCCATCGCTGATCTGTGAAGATCAGTGCGGCGATCCTCCGCCCGTTGTTTTCAAGAAGTGGGGCTCAAAAGGCCCCGATTTTCCTTCCTTTTCAAAAGGAGGCAGTGGCCTCCCGGGGGCTGGGCAATTGCGGGGATGCCCGTGATTCCCTGGTATCTCCTCCCCCCCCCCCCACCCACCCCACACACACACACACACCCAGCGTGATGCGCTGGGTTCGACCGGGGGACTGCTGGGCCGGTCGACCGCCCCCTATCCCACCGGGGCCCAGCCCTGATGCAAATGTAATTGATTTTGGATTTTCTCTCTTTTGAAGTTTTGAAGTTCGTAACTTTCAACTGATGTTGAAATCAAATGCGCAATGCACATGTGATTGATTTTGGCTTTTTCGGATTTTCCCTCTTTTGAAGACTTTTCCCTTTTCCTTCTTTATCTTCCGACAAAAAAAAAAAGAAAAAAGAAAAAAAAAAGCTTCCGACTATAGAAGCTCATGCTGTCTGGTTCATTTCGGACCTGCGACTGCAAAAACAATAGTTAAATGTCTGCATTATTTCTTAGGTGTAGGCTATAGAGGTTGGTGAGGAAGTTCTACAGTTTTAGAAAATGTAATAGATCCTTGAAAAAGAGGAAAGATCTTCAAAGAAGGGTGATATCTGTGAATCGAATGGGCCCATAAGGGGAGGGGGGGGGAGGGGGAGGGAGGGGCAGGGTGGCGAAACAACAACAACAGAGGCCCTCATTGCCAAGGGTTTGTCATGAGACCTTATGCTTTTTTTCTGTGCTGCAGGGACCATCAGGACCAACGATCAAAGTCACAGTTCCGTACATTCGGCAGGAGGTCCCCATCATCGTCGTGTTTCGTGCTCTTGGGTTTGTTGCAGACAAAGACATTCTGGAACACATCTGCTATGACTTCAATGACACGGCAATGATGGAATTGCTCCGGCCATCGTTAGAGGATGCATTTGTTATCCAAAACCAGCAGGTATATTGCTTTCTATTGTTTGTCATCAGATCCGGAGCAACTGACACGTGCATTTTTAAGACATGTTGCATACTCTGTGTGTGTGTGTGTGTGTGTGTGTGTGTGTGTGTGTGTGTGTGTGTGTGTGTGTGTTTGTGTGTTCCTTTTCCTCCTCCTCTGTGTGTGTGTGTGTGTGTGTGT